TGACAAAGGAAACAATGTCCATAAAGGGCCTGGGCCTAAACACAGTCGCCTAACGCACCCTCTGGGTCAATACTCTCATACCTAAGCGGCTCTACTGCACCAAATCCTTTTTTGGAGGGTAAAGAGTAAGTATTTAAAAAAATAAAACAAGGTTCTCTCTTTTAGTGGATCCTCTACTCATTACACCTTCAGTCTTGTTCTCATCTCTGCCTACTACCTGAATGAGATCTGCTGAGTGCATACTGAACATTTACTATATTCTGAGAAATAACTCAACATGTGACATCATCACATTCAATCCTAAGAAACCTCTGAGACAGGCATTATGATAATTCCCAAGGTGCAGATGAGAAACCAAGGCTCTGAGAGGCTAAATGTGCTCACTGAGAGACAGGTAAAGCTACAAGGTTAGGGTTGGAACCCAGCTGATCAACCTCTGAAGCCTGTGCTCCTAACTGTCATATAATACTCTCTCCCTGACGGGGGTGGGCGGGGCAGCGGAAGGAAGGGGACCAAGTCCCACCTGCTGAGTGGTATGCAGGAGTGACGAGGCTCTGCCTTCTGCCTTACCCCCTCCAACCCACCAGGTTCTTTAGCCAAAGGCACTACTGCCCTCATCAGAATCCTTCAGTGGTTTCCAACTGCTCATGGAGAGATTCACGTACTTCGCATCAGAGGCCTTTCAAAACCTAGTCCCGTCCTCCTATATCCTAGGATTCCAGACATGAATTCTTTCTCTAGCCTAACTTCAGGGACAGTCCCGCGCTTTCAGACCTTGACGCCTCTCGCCTACTGCTCTCTCAGCCGGGAACAACCTCCCCCCTGAAAGAAGTGTTAAGAAATAATTCAGACACACGAAAAGGATTTCTCAAGAATACTTCTCCTCTTCCCCATGAAGACACAGCTTAGGCAGCACCTCCTCCAAGAAGCCTTCCCAGGCTACTCATGAAGGATCTCTGTGCTAGCCTCTGTAATGGCAGTTATCACTCTTATTTACTCACCCGTCTCCCACGCCAGAGGGAGAGTACATGGCTCAAGAGTGGGAGCCCAGCCCTAAGAATCCCTGAACCCACAGGGAAACACTGGCTGATTAGACAACTCATCAAAAATGCACAAGGCACAGGTCCAGGAGATGGAAATACAAGAGATGAAAAAGTGGGACAAAGGGGATAAAACAGGATATGCACTTAAAAAAAGCCAACAATCTTGAGACTAGACAAAAATAACCGAATGTTAGTGTTTTCAGACTGTTCATGCTAATGTATAGAAATATAATTGATTTTTGTTTATTGATCTTGTATCCTGTCACATTGCTGAACTCATTTATTAGTTCCTAAAAGTTTTTTTCGAGGATTCCTTAGGATATTCTATACACAAGATGCCATGTCATCAGCAAAGAGAGATTGTTTTACGTCTTACTTTCTAATCTGGATACCTTTTATTTCTTTTTCTTGAGTGACTGCCCTGGCTAGAATCTCAGGTACAATGTTGTATAAAAGTAGCAAGGGCAGACATCCTTGCCTTGTTCCTGATCTTAGGGGGAGAGTATTCCATCTTTCTCTATTAAGTAGGATGTTAGCTGTGGGCTTTTTGCAGAAGCTCTTTATTGGGTTGAGGAACTTTCCTTTCTTTTGCTGAATGCTTTTATCATGAAAGGGTGCCAAATGCTTTTTCTCTGTCTACTGAGATAAACATATGGTTTTTGTCCTTGTTCTATTAATATCGTGTATTACACTGATTTATTTTCAGATGTTAAACCAACCATTTCTGGGATAAATTTCATTTGGTCATGATGTATAATCCGTTTTATATGTTGCTGGATTTGTTTTGATAGTATCTTGTTGAGGATTTTTACATCTGTATTCATAAGGAATACTGGTTTGCAGTTTTCTTGTGATGTCTTTGGTATCAGGGTACTACCAGCCTCACAAAATGAGCTGGGAACTATTTCTTCCTCTTCTATTTTGTGGAAGAGTTTGTGAAGCATTGGTATTAATAAAAAATTCATTATTAAGGAAATTTTCAAATGGACCAAAAAATAGTACAAATAGTATAATTTATGAAACCCCATGTAGCCTTCCACTCAGTTTCAATAATTATCAACATACTACCATTCTTATTTCAGCTATGCTCGTTTCCCAATGTCTTACTTGTTTAGAGGGTGAAATTATTTTAAGCAAATCCCAGACATGTCTTTTCACCCTTAAAGACTTCATTCAACATATCTAACAGGTAAAGACGACTTTTTTTTTTTTAACATAACTAGAATTTAATTATTTCACCTAACAAAATTAGCAGTAATTCTTAATGTTATCTAATACCTGATCCATGTTCAAATTTCCCCAAATATCTCAAAAATGATTTTTAGAATTAGTTTGTTTGAATCAAGATCCACACAACATCCAACATTGTATTTACTTGAAATGACTTTTAATAGCCCCCTTCTCTCTTGTCCCCCCCTGCCATTCACTTATTTGATGGAAAAAACAAGGCCAATTTATCCTGGAAAAAGTTTTCACGTTCCAGTTTTGGCTGTAACACATCTATCCCCATGTGTCTGTTTAAATTGTTCTTCTCTCCCTCATGCTTCTTTCATTCATTCATTCATTCATTCATTCATTCATTCATGAGGAAGATTAGCCCAGAGCTAACATCCATTGCCAATCCTCCTTTTTGCTGAGGAAGACTGGCCCTGAGCTAACATCCATGCTCATCTTCCTCTCCTTTACATGGGACGCTACCACAGCATGGCTTGATAAGTGGTGCAGAGGTCTGTGCCCAGGATCTGAACCTGTGAACCCCGGGCCACCGAAGCAGAGCATGTGTACTTAACCACTATGCCACCGGGCCAGCCCCCTCATGCTTCTTTTAAACTGGGAGTTAGATCTAGATTCAGGTTACTGTGAATTACTACTGCATCATATTAGAAGACACATAATGTCTGGCTGTCCCACTTTTAGTGCTAAGTTTGATCTATGGGTTCAGGTGCCATCAGCCTCATCCACCCATTATAACATTTCCCATCAACCTTCTACCTAATGGTTTTAGCAACCACTGACAACTCGTGCCTAGGTACATTATTTCAGTAGGAGTTGCAACATGGTGATTTTCTAATTCGTTCTGTTGTTCCAAGGCTAGGATTTTTTGCCTTCATATTTATGGACTCCAGGTCTATGATTCCCAGTTAGGACGGCACAGCTTCCAGGTGCCACTGCAGAAGCCCTGGCATTTATAGGCAGAGACCAGAGAAGCTGCATGCTCTACAACTCACAGTAGAGTTCCACATAACAAAGAATCACCTGCATCCCACACAACTCTCGAAAGTCTTGTCAGACATTCATGGAAGTGTAAAGCCTATAAAAATTACCCGAGTCTAAGACCATTTTATATACGAACACAAAGTATTTTTTATACTGTTTTAATACAAAGTTTTCCAGGAATGTAACTATGATGTAACCGAAGAAACACTGTCTATCTACTATCTTGTTGCCATCCTCCTAAGGGCTATTCACCGTTTCAGAAAAGTCATGTTAGTAACAGCAACACAGTTTGTGGTATTTGAGTTGTTGACACAACACACCTGTATGTCAGCTTTTGTTACTGTCGAATTCAAGATAATTCCACATACAAGTGCAAACGTCTATGTTTTCCCCAAGGTAATTATGCTCAGGCATCTACACGATGAAATACACATTACCTTATTATTACTTTCTATTTCTCATTTAGATTATAGTTAGGACTTCATACCAATTCTTTTTGAAATTGTGCATTCAGTAAGTTAGATTATCTACAAATTCATTCATCCATTTCAAGAGGGTAAAAGAGATTTCATAGAATATTTGCTTTGAAATGGGCAGTGAGTCTAAGAGAACTGAGAATTACTATCTACTTCAGGTCTATAAAAACTCCCCCAACTTGACTGCTGTCTAGTGCTTACTCTTAAATCTTGTCACCCTATTCTGGTTACATCACAACCAGAGCACTGTGCTGGGAGTGAGGACATCTGGACCCCAGCGCTGGCTCTGCCTCTTTATTAGTGTCTGGTGACCTTAGGCAGGTCATCTTACCTTTGTTTCTGTCTGTACCATAAGGAGGTTAGATCAGACAGCTGTTTCCAACCTTTCAACCACTTTTTACTATTCTCCACTCTCCCCTCAGGACCCAATATTTCCCAAGAGTGCCAAAGAGACTTGTCAATTTACTACTCACTGTAATAATTAAACCAATTTCCCATTTTTTAAAACTAACCAAAGGTGTATAATTGCAAAATAGAATAAAATAACAATGGCAGTTAACACTTACGGAAAGCTTATTATGGTCCCACAGTGAACCCTCCTCCTAAGCCTGCCAACCCCACCATTGCTACCACACTGTGGACTCCAAATTGGGAAGTGTTGTTGCAGGCAGAGACTAAGGTCTCCTAGTCCTTGTCTCCTCCCTCAGAGCGGAAGTCTCCAGTCCTAAATGCTGCCATTCTAATCTGCAAAGATCTTGGATGTGACTTGCTCATATCCCATGCTGTTTTGGTAAATTTCTGAAGTTGTCAAAGAGGTCAGGGGACTACAGTGAAATGAAATGCACAATGAAAGGCAAGACAGTGGGAACACATCCCCCTGCGGGAAAGTACTTCTGCATTTTCCCAAAAAGCCTGGTCCAGGGCCCTGCACAGACAAAGAGGTCTGGAATGAATAACTAAATCACCTGGGCAGCAACCGTGAGTCTGCACACAGCCCCAGAGGCACTGCCCCTTGGGCAGACTCAGCAGCTCTGTGTGCCTCTAGAAAGGGGATAGGCAGCCTTAAGACGCTGGGTAGTCAGGCAGTACAGTACAAGAATGCACTGCTCCACTTGTGTCTCCATTTTCTACCTCTGTACAACCAGACTCTTGACAATTCTGTTGAAGACACATGGGGGCCAGAGAAGAGGGCAAGTGGCAGGAGAGTCATGACTGGAATTCTTCTGCAGAAGCATGGGCTGCCCACTGGGGGCTCTGTACTCACCAGGGAGGCTGCCGGCTGGTGTGTGGGTGGTGTGGGTGAATCCGGAGCGGGTCCACCTCTCTGGCAGTGGCAGGGGGAAACTCCTGGCAGGGACTGCTTACACTAGCCTTTTCCCAGTGCTCATGGATAGGTGTGATGATTCCAGACACAATACGAGACCGAAGCTCCTCACTGTTCTTGTAGGTCCTGCGGGAAGCAGATGAGGTGTCAACTGCTTGCAGCTGGCGGGCAACCCTGTGTACAGTATTTTGGCGGCGGCGGCCCTGACAGCTCTTGGCGTTGCGCTTGGACCGTTTGCAAGGGTGGGAACGGGCCGCCCGGCGGACCTGCGTGAGGGGGGCAACAGCCTGGCGCTGTCTCCGAGATTTGGGCCTAAACTTCTTAGGCATCTGAGTTGCCCCTCCTCGTTTACCACCCCATTAGAAAGAGGTGAGGGTGTAGGGGCACAGGGCCTGGACTGGCTACTACTCTGTACCAGCCCCGCCTCACCCTCACCCCACCCTCACCCTCATTGTGTGTTCATCACATGTCACGGGAACGGTCAAGGAAGGCCAAAGCTCTGTAGGGAGGACAAATCAGGTTCCTGGTCCAGGTAGGCAGGGCTCTGGGGACTCAGGCCCAGTTCTGTCACTAACTCAGAGGCCCTCAGAAGGCTGCTCTGGGCCTCTTTTCTCTGCCTGTGAGAGACAAGCAATGTGAGCTCTAGATGAGATGCTGATGAAGACTGAGGTAACAGAGTGGGCAGAACACTAGAGTTCCTAAACATCTGGTGTTTTAAAAAGAGCCATATCCTGGGTCAAAAAGCAAACCTCATAAATTTAAAAGAACTGAAATGATACAGAGTATGTTCTCTGACCACAGGGAATCATACTAAACATCAAAACAGAAAGGAAGTCTCTAAATACGTGAAGATTAAGCAACACAATTTTAGATAATCCATGGATAGATAAGAGGAAGTCTTAAAAAAAAGTACAAAGCACTAAATAAAAATAAAAATACAACAGATTACAATATGTGGGATATAGCTAAAGCTGTGTTGAGAGGAAACTTTATAGTACTAAATACCTATACTGGAAAAGAGGAAAGAAATCAATAATCAAAATTCTGACTTCAAGAACCTAGAAAAAGAAGAGCAAATTAAGCCCAAAGCAAGCAGAAGTAAGGTAATAATAAAGAACGGAACTCAATAAAACAGGAAAATGATAGAGAAAATTAATAAACCAAAAACTGGTTCTTCCAAAAGATGAATAAAACTGATAAAACTTCTAGCAAGAGTAGCAAACATAAAAAAAGAGAAGACACAAATCACCAGTATCAAGAACAAAACAGTGGCTATTACAACACACCTGTTGCCATTGAAAAGATAATAAGAGAATACTGAAAATAACTCAATTCAACAACTTAGGCCAATTCTTCAAAAACCATCAACTGTAACAACTTAGCCAAAATGAAACAGATACTCTGAACAGTTCTATTAATGTAACTAAATTCATACTAAGCACTCAAAAAAAGAAATCTCCAGGTCCAGATGATTTCAGTAGAAAATTCTACCCAACATTTAAAGAAGAATTAACACCAACTTACAGTCACTTCCACAAAACACAAGAAGAGGGAACATTTCTCAACTCATTTTATGAGGCCAGTATTACCCTGATATCAAAACCAGACAGAGAGCACACACAAAAAAGAGAACTACAGACCAGCTATTTCCTGTGAACTTGGATGCAAAAATTCTCAACAAAATATGAGCAAATTGAATTAAAAAATATATAGAAAGAATTATACACCATAGGATTTATTGTAGGCATGCAAGGCTGGTTTAATACCCACATATCCCTACCATATCAATAAACTAAGAAAAATCATATGATCCTATCAACTGATGCAGAAAAAGCATTTGACAAAATCCAACATGATAAAACCATTCATGATAAAAACTCAACAATCTAGGAATAGAGGGGATCTTCTTCAACTTGATAAAGAGCATCTACAAAAAAACCTATAGCTAATAATATACTTAATAGTGAAAGATTGAACACTTTGCCTCTAAGACTGGGAACAAGGCAAGGATGTTCTCTCTCACCACTCTTAACATACAATTAACAGTATCAACAATATTGGAAGTTCCAGCCACTGCAATAAGGCAAGAAAAAGGAAAAAGGATACAGATTAGAAAGCAAGAATAAAATTGCCCCTATTTGCAGATGACATAATAGTCTACCTTAAAATTCCCAAGGAATCAAAAAAAAACTCCAAGAATACTGTGAGTTCAACAAGGTGATAGGATAGAAGATCAACACGCATCATGCACATTAACTGCATTTCTATATACTAACAATGAACACTTGAAAATCAAAACTAAGAACAGAACACCATTTATAATCACCCCCTCAAAAGAAATAACAAAAAACATCTTCCATATATATGCTGAAAATTACAAAATGATGATGAAAGAAACTGAATTATGACGCAAACAAGTGGAGAGACATACCATATTCACAGTAAAAACGGAAATTTTCCCCATTATAAGTTTAATGATCAGTAGGTTTAATGCAATTCCTATCAAAATCCCAGCAAGGATTTTTATAGACATAGACAAGCTTATTCTAAAGTCTGTACAGAAATGCACAGACTCTAGAGTAGCTAAAACTATCTTGACAAAGAAGTAAGTGGGAGGAATCATTCTACTCAATATTATGGTCTAATATGTAGCAACAATAATCAATACTGCACGATACTGGCAGAGGGACAGACACAAAGATCAAGGGAAAAAACAGAGAACCCAGAAACAGACCCACACAACTATAGACAACTGATTTTTGATAAAGTTGCAAAAGCAATTCAATGAAGGAAGAACAAATGGTGTTAGAGCAATTGGACACCCACAGGCAAGAAAATGAACTTCTGTCTAAACCTCACACTTTACACAAAAATTAACTTAAAATAGACAACAGACTTAAATGTAAAAACATAAAACCATAAAATGTTAAGGAAAAAACACAGGAGAAAATCTTTGGGCTCTAAAGCCAGGCAAAGAGTTCTTACATTTGACACCAAAAGCTTGATCCATAGAAGTAAAAATTGATAAAATAGATACTATCAAAATTAAAAACTTTTGCTTTGCAAAAGACCCTATTAAGAGAACTAAAAAAAAAAAAAAAAAACCTAAAGGTACAGCCACTCTGGAAAATCATTTGGCAGTTTTTTAAAAAACTAAACATGCAATTACCATTGCACTCGGGCATTTATCGAAGAAAAATGAAAATTATGTCCATACAAAAGCCTGTACATCAATGTTCATAGCCCCATTATTTGTAATAGCAAAAAACTGGATGTGCTTCAACAAGTGAATGGTTAAACAAACTGTGGTACACCGCACCATGAAATACTACTCAGCAACACAAAGGAACAAACTATTGATGCATGCAACCACTCAAATGGACCATAAGGGTATTACGCTGAGTGAGAAAAGCCAATCCCAAAAGCTTACATACTGTATGATTCCACTTATATAACATTTTTGAAATGACAAAATTTTAGAAATGGAGAATAAATGGTTGCCAGGGGGTTAGGGGTGGGAAGGAGTGGGTGTGGCTATAAAAGGGCACCAAGAGGGATCCTTGTGGTGATGGAAGTGCTTTGTATCGTTGTCTCAATGTCAATATTCTGGCTGTAGTATCTAGTAAAATTTTGTATGATGTTATCATTTTTAGCAATACAAAGAGTCTCTCTATATTATTTCTTACAACTATATTTAAGACTAAAAATACCTCAAAATAAAAAGTTTAATTAAAAAATGCATTATATAACCATAAGATAAACTGAATCTATTGGCTAGAATTAATAGGTTTTCTCTAGCATAGAAGGGGGTTCAGGGAGGGCACGAGAGAAAGCCTCTATTTCCTGCACCCATCCTTTCCACCAGAGAAACTCTACTTGAACTAGTTTAATATGTCAATCCTAAAGAACACTGCTTGAAGAAAGAGTTCCAGGGTTAAAAAGTATAACACCAGCAATAGCCTGGAAAATCTAGAGGCCTGTGGTCCACACATCCCTACAAAGATCAGGCTCCTATTTAGAACACAGAACTGCAGGGACCTTGCTGCTTCCCTGCCCAAGCTGGGTGGAGGGGATAAATCTAACTCGTCTTTCCTTCAATCAGACGAGCTGTGTGTGATACAGCTGGAAGGCCTCTGATCTCCCCATGTAAGATGTTTACCTGTAGAACTCAGGTCTGATTCAAAACTGCCAAGTCCTGAAGGAGAAGTTCTCGCACAATTTCTAAGCCTCAGTAGAAGTGCCACTTTGGTAGTAGCAAAGACAGCCTGTCATCCTGTCTAATATGGAAGGGGCATGGCAGGACATGTTTATACACCCTAGCAGATCAGTTTGCTCACCAAGGGGCACAAATTCCTACCTAGAACAGACAAGACGTGCCATGATAACCCAACAAGGAGGGCCCAATGGGGGAAGGGGACTATAAGCAGGCAGCTGAGGCTGCTGGCAGTAAGGCAGGAGAGAGGGAGGGCCTTATGATCAGGAGGCAGATCCATACCCAGCTCTCAGAGCCTCAGTTTCCATGGAGATGATTCCCAGGGATATTTTTCTCCTTTGTGTATTTACTAAGAGCTGGGCTCAGCACTAAGCACTCTGTGCTGACATCTCATTTCGTTCTCAGAACAACGCTCTGAGGTAGTACTACTGTGCCCCTCATTTCACAGTAATCAAAAAACAAAACAAAACACCTCCCCCTCACAAAACCCCCAAAACAAATGCATTTAAAAAAAATAAATGGAGACTATCACCATTTTCTCTGAGTACTGCTGAGCGGACTAAATGCTCTAACGAGCCTGAACAGCCCAGTTCAGTGCCTGAGTTCTTCCACAGGTTTTGTCAATTTCTCTCCCAATGGAATTCCAGAATAAGAAGTCAAGAGAGACCACCCTCCAAATGTCCTTCCCTTACTCCCCTTCAGGGGTGTGGGGGGTCATGGTGTGGGCAGCAGCCAGAAGGTCAGCTCTGCCAAGGCCAGGCCTGGCCTCGCTTCACTCCTTCATTCCTTTGTCTGCTATACACAAAGCAGACCCAGGGCCTGCCTTCAGGGAGATCACAGGCTAGTGGGGGAGGCCGACTCTACGATGGCAATCATCAGATACCCACTTATTAAAGGCTTACAAGGTTGTTTCAAAACATCAAACATGGGGGGCCGGGGAGGCTTCTCTGAGGAACTGACGTGTAAACGGGAACTGAAGGAAGAAGAGGAGCTGGCCGTGTGAGGAGGCTGGGGAGAGTGCTCTAGGCAGAGGGAGAGTTCTGAGAGGGAAGACTGGGCCTGGCGTGGGGGGAGCAGGGCACTGCGGCTGAGGCACAGGCACTAAGGGGGAAGCGGGACAGGATTAGGCTAGAGGGGCCGCGTGCTAGACTTTAGGTCTCATCAAAGATTTTGTTCTTTATCTTAAGAGCCAGGAACATGGAACATTCACTGAAAGGTTTGTTTTTTGGATTTTAAAAAACTTTTCATTGTAAAATACACATAAAATTTATCAACAGCCAGTTTTAAGTGTATACTTCAGCAGTATTAAGTACATTCAGATTGTTGTGCAATCACCACCACCATCTTCAGAACTCCTTTCATCTTGCAAAACTGAAACTCTGTACCCATTAAACAGTAATTCCCTATTCTCCCCTCTCCCAGCCCCTGACAACCACTATTTTACTTTTTTTCTCTATGAAATTTGACTACTCAAGGAACCTCATATAAGTGGAATCATATTATATTTATCTGCTTGTAACTGGCTTATTTTGCCTAGCATAACGTCCTCAAGGTTTATCCATGTTGAAGCATGTGTCAGCATTTCCTCCCTTTTTAAAGCTGAATAATATTCCACTGTATGCATAGTTGTCCCTCAGTATCTGCAGGGGATCGGTTCCAGGACCACCCACCAAGGATACCAAAATCCTCGGATGTTCAAGTCCCTTAATCAGCCCTCCCAAGCTGGTTGAATCCGTGGATGCAGAACCTTTGGACACAGAGGGCCAACTGCATATACATTTTATTTATCCATTCACCTGTCCTAGGTATTCACAGACACCTACGTTGCTTCCACCTTTTGGCTACTGTGAATAATACTTCTATGAACGTGGGTATACAAATATCTCTTTGAATCCCTGCTTTCAATTCTACTGGGGATACCCAGGAGTGGAACTGCTGGATCATATGGTAATTTAATTTTTTGAGGAGACAGCATACTGTTTTCCATAGTGGCTGCACCATTTTATAATTCCACCAATAGTGCACAAGGCTTCCAGCTTCTCCACATCCTTGCCAATACTTGTTTTCTTTTGATAGTAGCCATCCTAGTGTGTGTGAGGTGCTACCACTGAAGGATTTCAAGCAAGGTTTTAACCACAACCTGATCTATGTTTTAAAAAGGCTGGTCTGACTGCTGTGTGGGAAATCGAGCGGAGAGTGGTGGGCAGAAGTGGAAGCTGGGATCTCCTCACATAGAGGTTGCATGGAAAAGGGGAAGAGACAAAGAGGGGTGGCCAGAATGATGGAGGTAGGTGGTCTGAAGTCTGAGAAGAGTGGAGCAGGTTCAAAATGATTACTGCTAATTAGATGCAATTAAATGCAACAGGGTTTTCTAGGCAGTTCTGATGACTGTGAATTTATAGCAATGCCAGGCTTCCTCAAAAACCCTGAGGAGGTCAACGAGGATGGGGGAAAAGTCCCTAAAGGGGAAATAAATGGGCCTAACTATATATCAGAGATAATTTCATTACACTGATGGAAAAACAAGCATTAATCTAAATACCTTTTGAACACAATACTCTGACTATATATATCCTCAGTGGGACAAGGTCAAAGGACAAAAAGAACTGAAAAGAAACCGTATTTGGAACTTTACTGAGATTTGTTATTGGTAGGTACTGATGCAGCAGTTCAGAAACTATTTGTGCGTTATTTTAAGGTCAAACAAAAAAGTAAATATATTGATGCTGTTGGGCATCAGGGTTCTCACCACAGATACAAGTACGGAATAAGAGAATAAGAATCCTGTGGTGTTAGATTAAAAATAAAAGTATCAGTTTAAAATTTAAGAAAAAAAACTTAAAGGAAAAAGCTTCCTAGCTCTATTCTCTGAAAAGGCCTGGAAGCAATAACATCCTTAGTGTTAATGAGCACACTCAGGGCCCAGATACTGGTTTTTCAATACTATTCCCCACCAAAGGAAATCATAGTTCCTTAGAGAAATGACTGATTTCAAGGCAGGGGTGAGGAAAGTACAAGGTGAGGCTAGAACATCTTACTGTGCCAGAAAGTATGAAAATGCTCAAAGAATGATGAGGATATGTCAAAAGGACAAAGGAGGCAGCTTGCAGGGGTTTCTACCAGACAATTCTGAACAACTTGCGCAAAGAATACAGAAATGGACTATAACTTCGAATAAAATAGAATCTGTGAGTCTATACTGATATTTAAAAAATTAAAAATAAAGCGGACAGGGAGAAAGAAAACTCTTTTTTATTAAAAAAAAACAGCTAAAAAATGTAGAAAGAATGACCAACATAGAAAATTACTGTTTTGTAATCATCACAGTAATAACTGATTCAGGCAAGAATCATCAATAGATGCTAAAACCACTGATGAAAGACCTTTAGGAAGCAGAATATCCACAGTCTGCTAATATAGTCCCACAGATCACTTACACACAAAAGAAGACAGATGCCTTTACTATAGAGAAACCTGGCAGATACTGTCATAACCAAGTGATCAAACTGAACCAAATCAACGAAGAGATAGACATCACGTGCCTGATGTGAAACACTGAGGAGAACAAAGCCTCACCTATGTAGTGTTCGTGTCAAAAATGTTCAACCTGAGGGGCCGGCCCGGTGGCGCAAGCGGTTAAGTGTGCGCGCTCCGCTGCGGCGGCCCGGGGTTCGCTGGTTCGGATCCCGGGCGCGCACCGACGCACTGCTTGGCAAGCCATGCTGTGGCGGCGTCCCATATAAAGTGGAGGAAGATGGGCACAGATGTTAGCCCAGGGCCGTCTTCCTCAGCAAAAAAAGAGGAGGATTGGCGGATGTTAGCACAGGGCTGATCTCCTCACACACACACACAAAAAAAATGTTCAACCTGAATCAAGTGATGAGGACACAATCTGAACAATCTACACAACAACTGCCCTCGAGTCTTCAAAAATACCAATGACACGAAAACAGTCTAGGAAACCATTCCAGATTGAAGGCAATTAAGGAGACATGAAAATAAACGCAACATGTGATCTTTGGTTGGATAAGAAAAAAACCTCAAACCAAAAACCAAAAGACTAGCTAAAAAGGACACCCTTGGGATGACTGCAGAAGTCTCAGCATGGATGGTGTATTAAATAATCTTAATCTATCAATGCTACATTTCCTGAGTGTCATAACTGTCTTAAGGTTATACAGGAAGTTGCTCTTGTAAGAACAAGGAGATACATGCCGAGATATTTAGGGGGTTAAGGTTCAAAAAGAGCGGAAATAATTCTCAGATGGTTCAAGAACAAAAAAGCACACAGAAAAATTAGGCAACTGGCAAAATGTTAAAAATTGGTAAATTTAGGTAATAGGTATATGGTTTTCACTGTAATATTTTTGAAAACCTTCTTCTCTGTGGGATTGCAAATTTCAAAACAAAAAGTCAAGAGAATGAGAAGACAAGCCAGACTAGGAGAAAATATTTGAAAACATAGATATAATAAAGGCCTGTTATCCAACATATACAAAGACCTCCTAAAACTCAATAATAAGAAAAAAACTTGATTAAAAAATGGACCAAAGACCTGTACAGACGCCTCACAAAAGAAAACATACAGATGGTAAATAAGCATATGAAAAGATGCTCAATATCAGATGTCATTAGGGAACTGCAAATTAAAACGACGAGATACCACTATACACCTATTAGAATGGCCAAAATCTGAAACACTAATACCACAAATGCCGACAAGAATATTGAGCAACAGGAACTCTCACTTACTGCTGGTGGGAATGCAAAACTGTACAGCCACTCTGGAAGACAGTTTGGCAGTTTCTTACAAAACTAAACATGCTCCAACACCACCAAGAGTGAACCCTAATGGAAACTATGGACTTTGGGTGATAATGTATGTCCGTGTAGGTTCGTCCATCTTTAGATATGTACCACTTTGGTGTGGGATGCTGACAGTGAAGGAGACTGTGTGTGTTAGGCAGGCAGAAGGTACACGGGAACTTTCTGCACTTGCTGCTCAAATTTGCTGTGAACTAAAACTCCTCTAAAAAAAGTCTATTAAAAGAAAAAAAACTTGGGGGTGGAGCAGAAACCTGATTCAGCACACTTTTTCCCAGAAGCCTACACTGACTGACTCCATCAGCCTGGCCCCATCTCTATTCCGTAGCCAGTGCAGCCCTTGTGGACTCTTGACTGCATCACTTTATTTCACATGGCATTTCCCATGTGGTCTTCTCTTCAACTAAATTAAAAACAGAAAAGAGAACTTAGAAGTGATTGTGCCCAGGGGTGAAAGATCCTTCCGTTAACCTTCCTCCATTCTCTGGTCACCTCCACCCCATTCCTCATATCTGGCCACTGGTTCTCTCTTTTTCCCAGAGAAAGGCCATCACTCAGAAGTACCTGTGGAAGTCAACCAGGTGTTCTGAATCAATATAATCATCCAAGTTCAGGGTCAAGTCTGACACTTGCTGTGAGCCACATTCCTAGAAAAATGAGAACAGAAAATGAGAGACTGGAGATATTTTTAGGCTAATGAGTGGGTGGGTAGGAGGAGAAAATTAAATATGGAACCTAAAGAAATACATATATGTACAAAGAGGCACATATAAGGACTGCCTGTACTATAGGAAATACTCTTCTAATGCTTGGAGACTTCTCTGATTTAGGAATACTGCCTTTCTGAGTTAGAGCCCAGAAAACCTACTCCCAGGCTCTTTGCAGCTTGGGCACAGGCATGTAACTGAGGTGCCAAATGGATGCACAACTTTGACCTGGAGGTGGGCAACATGGAAAAGCAGACCCAGCAAGGGGCAGACTTCTCGCTAATGAGGGAGGCAGCAGGGGTCACAACATAAGTGGCTCATGAGAGGGGGCACCAGGGCTGGCAGTATTGGCCAGTACTTAATGCCTCAGGGTGGCAGCAGCAGCAGTGGTTTCCACGGCACAGTCTGGGGCACTATCCTGGAAGCCCAGCCTTGAATCTGTTTTTCCAGCCCTTCCAACAATTCAATGAGCTGTCCTAGTTCTTTTAATAAACACAATCTGTTTAAACTAAGCTGAGGTGATCTTGTTGTTTGTAAGAACCCTGTCTGACACAGGATCTAAATGTTTATCAAAAGGAAAAGGGATAAATAAATTATGGTATTACAGAATACTACAGAGAAGTTAAAGCGAGTAAGGTATATCTATATGCATTCCCACATAAAGACCTCCAAAACATATTGACAGAAAACAGCAAGGTGCAGTACAATACAGACTGCACGGTACTTTCATATGAACACACACAGACAACCAGGACAAAACTTAACAAAAGGGAAGTCATTGCCTTCGTGGTGCTTCCAGTCCAGTGGCAGAATACAAACATTAAACCAAAGCATAAATAAATATATAATTACTAATTGTGGTAAGCTGTAGGCAGGAAAACAAAATGATGAAGTAGAGAGGCATAGTTTAGATTTTTCTCACAGGTGAGAGTAGGTAGTCAGGATTGAACTTTTGGAGGAAGTGCAAAACGAGAGAGAGCTAGCCAGGCTAAAGGAAGGGTGGAGGGTGTGCATGTGTGTGAGGCGGTCCAGGGTGGAGGGGAAGAGCTTTCCAGCACAGGAAACAAGAAGTGTAAAGGCTCCAAGGCAGCAAAGAGCCAGGCTTATCTCAAGTAGCCCCCTGAAGCTACAATAAGCTTTTTTCTCCCATGTGGTCACTGAAAGAATTTACCTTAATCAATACCTTTTACAATACCAGGCAGTGAACAGCCCTGAGCACAAAGCTTGTCTATATTTAGGGTTCTTGCCTTAGGATAAAGTTCCAGAAGTAGGATCACTGGGTAAAGGTGCACATTTAGGGCTCTTGATCCATACTGTTAAATGGGTTTCAAAAAAGCAATCCCAATGTCCACTCCCACTGGTGGACCCCTACGTGTCCGAGAGACTCACCAGCACATTGATGATCATGCTGTTCTCCACGGTGACAGCCTTCACAAGGAGCTTTCTGGACCCATCCTTAGACTCATACCGGAGGACATACAGGTCTTTATTGTTGTTCCACTCGGCTGGCAGCAGTTCTGATTTCTTATCATTGGGACCCGGCTGAAGAGACACCAGGGTTGAGAGGAGGAAGATTATAACCTCAGAACACAGAGCTATAAAAGGACCTTACAGATAATCTAATCCCACTCCCTCACTTCACAGATGAGGACAGGGAGGTCAAGAGAAATAAAACGACCAAGGTCGTGCAGCAACTCAAGAGGTCTGGGACTCAGGTCTCTGGACTCCTAGTCTAGTGCTCCCTCCCTCCTATCTGACTGCCTTTATGGCACAGCACTGGAACCTGTCAAGAATCTGCAGCCTCGGTTCAATAACAATCTCCTCTCGATCCCCCTGCCAAGAATAAGGCCAACAATCTCAAGGGATACTATGAAATTTTAAGGCAGTGTTTTTCAAAGTTTGGAACTTGGGCCATCTGTAACAGGATCACCACAGAGTTGATTAAAAATACAGATTCTAACATACTCCCCTCTAGACTAGTGTAGTGGTTTAACAAAAATTATGAACAATTTTCATACAATCACAAAATGTAGCATATGTACAAGATAAAAAAGAATGATAAAATGGACACCTATGTATCTACCACCAGCTGAAGAAACAGAACACTGCCAATACTGCTAACGCCTTGAGCAGCGTACTCCCAATGAATCTCCTTCCACTCCCTCACAGGTAATCAAACTCTGTATTTTCAAAAATTTCCTTACTTTTCCTTATAGTTGTATTACTATACACACAACCTTAAAAGTATATTGTTTCAAATGTTTTTGAATTTTATATAAATGGCATCACTTTTATCACTTGCCTTTTTCATTTGATAGTTTTTGAGATTCAACCATGTCAAAGCATTTATCTATAGTTGATTCACTAGACAGCATTCCATTGCTATACAGTTCACAGCTACACAGCATACCGTCGTATGAATACGCTGCAAGTTACACATTCACTTGTTGATGGAGATCTGAAGTGTTTCCAGTTTATCTGTTTTGCTGTTATAAACAATGCTGCTACTTGTACACTTCTCCTAGTACACATGTGGATGAGTTTCTATAGAGCGTGTCTAGGGGAAGAACTTTTAATTTATAAGATAAAGTCAAACTGTTTTCCAAAGAGGTACTGATTTACAGTCCCATCAGCAGTGTATCGGATTTCCTGTTCCGCGTGGTCAGCAACACTGCTATTGTCCAATTTTAAAATTTTTGCCAACCTAGTGGGTGTAAAAATGCATCATGTGAGTTGTGATATCTTCCTTTCTTTTCTTTTTAAATAATCCTAGGACTTTCCTTTTACACACTAAAGTCTGAGAAAGAGTTCTCAAACTATTTCTATAGTAAAAACTAATATAGTTATTTCCAGGTGGGGAAAGATTTCTTAAACAAGATCCACAAAAGAAAAAAAGTGCTGTCTTTGAAACCGTTCATAATTTAAAGCTTCTGTTCAACAACAGACACCACAGACAAAGTTAACAGGCATCACAGGCTAGGATGAGATGTTTGCCATGGCTGCAAATGAAAAGAATTAATAACTAGTACATAAAGGGAACACCTGGTAAATAAACAATAAAATTGGGAAGCCACTTGAAAAACTGGCAGAAGATATAAACAAGCAAAAGATAAAGGCAGCTAACAGTGTATGAAGAGTTATTCAACTTGACTAGCACGCAGAGAAGTCCAGGTTGAAATGATGAGATACCAGGTCACACACATATTGTTCTGCCAGGTGTTTGTGTGGGTGTGGGCAGAATGAGAACCTCCAGGCACTGCTGGTGGCCATTTACACTCATACCACTTCTCTGGAGAGCCGTGTGGCAGTATTTAGCACAATTAGGAGACCTGATACTCCATGACCCCAAACCTCCACTCCTGGAAGAAACCCTATGCACAGAGACACAAGAGATACAGCAAGGGATCTTCATCACAACCTTGTCGGGGGCACCAAAGTGGAGGTAAAATGCAAAATATGATCACAGAGGAATACGATATAGCAGTTTAAAGGCACAAACTAAGGGCCGGCCCCGTGGCTTAGCGGTTAAGTGTGTGCGCTCTGATGCAGGTGGCCTGGGTTCGGATCCCAGGCGCGCACAGACGCACTGCTTCTCCAGCCACGCTGAGGCCGTGTCCCACATACAGCAACTAGAAGAATGTGCACCTATGACACACAACTGTCTACTGGGGCTTTGGGGGAAAAATAAATAAATAAATAAAATTATAAAGGCACAAACTAGATCTAATTGTAGTATTATAGATAAATGTAAAAGATATGACTTAAAGAAAAGTTAACAAAAAAATAAGATTTATAGCTGGGTACCATTTATGTAAAAAATTATTAAAACACAAAAAAATTTGTATTTTTTTTCATGGATGTATATTTATATAGCTAAACACAAAGCAAGTGGACTGGGAAAGATCTGTATTCATGAGAATACAGTGGGAGGGAGTGGGACCAAAGAAAAGGACAAGAGCAAAGACAAAGGCCCAGCACACGGACCTTACACACAACAAGGACAACGGGAGGCCAGGAGTGGGGAGAACTGCGGGCCTCTCCTCTTTGGTCACCCCTGGTGCTCAGGAATCCAATGCGGGAAGCGGTCCCAAATAAATTTCAAGATGTTGCAACTGCATGGTTTAAAACCTGGCTGGCCTGAAGCTGAGAAAGGAGAGTGACAAAAAACAAAAGTGAAACTTATCAAACCACTCTGCTAAGTGACAAAGAGAAACTCTCCTGTCACCATAACTGGGTAAATTTCCTATAACATGTTTAGTGTTGTGGATTTAGGGTTTACTTTGATAACACGCCTTGTCTTTGTTCTGTCAAGGGCCTTTGAATTTATATTTACATCTTTCATGTACAACTTTCAACCCACCAGATTCTTTCTTGGAATATAGATAATTCAGTCTGCTCAACATCCCATAACCTCTGGCTTCCAGAGTAACAGAGAATCCTGGGGCCAGGGGAGGCTGATGCCTCTCACTGCAGTGGAACCGATGTTCCCCAGTCCAAGGGCTACCCTGATATGGGGAAAACAGGTGGGACTGGGAGGGACTGGCCTGGGTGATATCAGCCAGTGGCATTCGACTGCCTCTAGGCCCTGACATCAAATATCAGGCTTTCCAGAAAGCTACAACTGGAAAGCAGCCAAAGTGCATGGTTGTGTAGTTTAACTCCCTTGGATGGAAAAGCTAAGGGCTGAGAGGGGCTGAGAATTGCCCAAGGTTAAGTCAGGTGCAGAGCGGGGTTTGGCATTCAGAGCTCCTGGATGCCCAGGTTATGGGTGGAGAAGATTTTTCCCAGCCAGGTCCACCAGACTGGTCCCAAGAAAGTAAAGACAGTTGTCCCCTTAGACAATCCCAAGGGGCTGGAAGCATTCTTTAGCAGCCATGAGTTTACCCCAGTGTCTCTTGGCTAAAACGCATTCAAAGAAACTCAAACAGATCATTTCGGGCATTTTCTCTTTTCCAACATAATCCTAAGATTCCTACAACAGAAAAAAAATTCTCTAACTTAAGTCTATGGCCATCTCTACCCCCTTGCCACCTAAATCACTTGACACAGCTGTAAAGCTCTTATGAGGAGTGGTGCTGACTTCAAAAAAAAAGAAATCCAAATTCAAATACTGCGTTTTTATTGAAGCCAATGGCTGCACTGCTCTCCTAATCAAGTTTTATGTATAACTCCCTTGTACCAGAGACAAAACCAAAGAGAAAAGCAAATGATTCAGCTTTCCATTTAACTGTCAATATACTATATGATCAAGTATACACTTTCAGGACCTTCCCCTCTCTCTTATCACCCTCAAAAGGGTGGGGAGCAGGAGGTGGCTGGAGGGGCAACATAAACATCCTCTGAGCTTGGTAAACACTATGGGTCTCAGGCCAGAAAAATAAAACCCTCTCTTAAATAAACTACTAGGAAAGATGCCTCTCCAAACAGCTTCTACTCTGAGTGAAAGTAGACTCGGCAGAAGCGAGAGGAGGACAAGTGCAACCTGAGCTCCCGTGGCACCTAAAAGAAAGGGCAGAGAGGCAAAACTACACTCCAGTGTGCAGTACAAGCACCCACCCCCTCAGACGGCATGCATGATTTAGCACTGGGGTGGACAGATGGACAGAGGGCAATGCCTTTCAAAACCCTCATCCTCACTCTGTGGCCTCCCCCGGAGCCAGCATCTTTTTCTGGCCTGCATCAACTCAACACGTGGCCCCATGAACAGAGTGGAATTAGATGGACCTTTGGGAATCAGCCAAGGATCTTTTATTTATTTTTTTAAACCAGTATTAAAATAAGATCGTATTCTTTCTGCATATTTCACCTGAAAACTTTTGGGCCAGGAGTATATGGCAAAGGGATGACGCCAGCTGGAAGGAGGCAACGACCTATATGAACCGATGTCCCTAAGCTATCAAAGTGATTCAGACAGAGTTGCTGTTGCTGACAGGATGTGTGAGGGGACGAGCAGTGGGAGCAGATGTGCAGTGTTCATGTATCTGTGGAGTGGGAAGAAGCGAAGGGAGTCGCGCAGGCCCTGTGTAACAAGTTCCTGTTCTGGAGGAAAGGTTCCGACAGTGTGTCCGAGTAGAAATAGCTACTTGGGAGTAAATAAGGTGAGGTACATGAGGAGGGGCAGAGAGCAGGGCAGACCTGGCAGATCTGAAGGACAGGGCAAGGGGCAGGGGGTGCTGAGGGCCGATGGGGGAGCTCCGAGGTCAGGACCAAGTCTTACTCGCCTCTCCAATCCCACTTCCCCCTGCACCACCCTACACACCAGCCTCCTGGGAGAAGTTCCCAGGAAGAGCTGAAATGAAATGACCAGGGCAAATGAAAGAGCTGCTAAAGAGGAGAAAGCTGGAGTGGGCAACTGAGGAGAGATGGGTTTCTGAGGGGAGACTATGCACTGAAAGGGGAAGCCTGACACTTGTGAGCGGGGCCCGTCTCTACCTGGTGCCAAGGTCTGAAATGCTGAAGGGCAAGGTAAGTGGAAGAAACGGTTCCCGCTTGCAGGTGTGTGTGCAAGGCTGGCCCTTCTTTTCCAGCCTCATCTCCAGGCCTAGAGTCCACGTTCGGGATGAAGTAAGAGTGAGCCTAGAGGTGGGGACGGGGGATGCTAAGTGTGTACCTGGGGTCCCAGCGAGATAACGAGGTCTGAAAAAAAGAAGCCAGAAATCCATGACAGTTCTTGTGCTTCCAATTCCCGGTGGTGGGCGAAAGTGAGAGGGGTGTGGTGGTCTTGGTCACTAGTTCTCAGGGACAGAGGAAGGGGGCAGTGGGGGGTGGGGGGAGTACTTAGCTCTAAGTGCTCAGGATGTGTAAACCGTGTTTGAGGAGGGATCCTACAGCTCTGTGTCGACAGGAAAAATGAAGACTCTGGATACATATCTGAGAAACTGAAAAAGGATTAGGGAATTTGAGAACTGAAGCAATCAGAGAAGAGAGGAAGGTTAAAATCTCACTGTAAGATGCAAGGGGTGAGGTGCCCCGCTCCCCAGAGCTGGTCCAGGTTCTGAGAGTGAGAAGAGAGCGACAGTGAGGGGCAGCTCGGAGTCCCGAGCGTGTGTCGAGGGGAGCTGGCTGGGAGCATCTTTTCTCTGACGGAGCAGAAGGCAAATGAAGGGGCAGGCCCAGTTCCCCCAGGAATCTCACGTGTAGGCCGCTGTGCAGGGCGCGAGTCACAGGGAAGGGGCAGGGGAGACGGAAGAATGCTACAGCAAAGAACCGGCGAGATGGGCTGGGCCCAGCATCCTGGGGCTCTGCGGGGAGGACAACAGGCCCCCAGCTGTGAGAGGCAGAGCCCGAGGACGGGAGCGCAGAAGGGGCTCGTCTTGCAGGGACAGGCTGGGGGAGGAACGCGTACCCGGCGCTCACACCCAGGGTGTGCGTGTGCGGGAGGCGGGGATGGCAGCGCTGAGCGGTCTGCGGGGCGCGCCCCTTCAGTCCAGGGTGCCGAGTGCGAGCTCTCCGGGCCGTGCTGAGTGCAGGAAGGGGCCTGACCGGGGCTGCGCAGATCAAAGCTCACCCTACCTCTGTGCCTGGACCCGGACACCCGGTGGAGGCTCGAGGGCAGCAGGAGGGCAGGACTGACTCCCCCCAACCCCTGTGCGGGAAGGGGCTGGGCGGGCGTTCAGGCAGCCGAGGAGCGCGCAGGGGAGCTGCACGCTGCCTCGGGGCCCGGCCCACCCGACCCTGGCCGGGGAGGCCGCCAGCCGTGCCGGGGCGAGCTTCCGTCCTCGGGTTTTCATACCACGCTGCGCCCGAGCAGCGCCCCCGACCCGCAGACAGACGCGCGGTGTCCGGACCCCGGGCCCGGACTCGGGAGGGGGCCGGGCGCTCCGCACCGGGCTGCGGGCCTGCGGGCTC